GTATTGCATTTAATTTAGTACTAAGCAGAAAACCACTATTGAAACGAACAGATATATAGCCTGTTCCACAGGAAGTGGTAGTGTATAACACTATCAGTTTATGTTGTAAACATAGTTCGGCTTACCATTTCCTATTCACAAAATAGATGAGCAGAGGAATTATTTGAAGTTTTCTGGTTCATTTTATTTTCTTTAGTTTTCTGATTATGTGTTTGGTATTCAGTATTTTCCTTCAAGTTCAGAATGTTTGCTGGATACTTGTTAGTTTATTTTTAAGCCTATTCCTCCATTGTGGTCAGATTAGACTCATTTGGAAATGATTGTTCTGTTCATGTTTATTCAAAGTCAGTACTAAAATGTATTCTAAAAATTCAGCTAAGTTTTCTTTTTTGGGAGTTCTAATGGAAACCTGGGGATCCCAAGTGACTTTCTTCAGAAAAATATTGAGTGATTTAACAAACAAGATAGATACATTGTGAAAACAGGCTGTTGTGAACTAATAGACTATGTTTTTACAAAGAATAGTTCCATTAATAATTATTTAATGTTAATAAAATTCTGAAATCTGGTTTTTCTATGCAAAAGGTTATTAAAATCCTTTCTCTTAAGGGAAAAATAAAAATTTAATAACTCATTTAATAACTCATCTCATACATTTTACCTCACCTTTGCTCCAAATAAAGAATTTCAGGTATTTAAAAATATTTTTAAATTCCTTTATAAGTATAAAATAGAGTGTATCTGTGGGCAAAATTATTAAAACTTGAGCTCTATGACCTAAAGATTACCAGAGGCTGCTGTGAATTTTCACCAACTTTAATAAAAATCTTTAGTGAGGAAGTGTAACATTTTAGCCCTTCAACATATATTTTGGTAATGACTGGTAAACTGCTTTCTCTATTTCTTGGGGACTCTGAAATCTAACAGACAAAACTATGTTTACTTATATTCCCATGGACCATAGCGAGAAATAATAGTACTAAAAGTAATTTTGCAGTAGTTTTTGGTTCATAAAAAATGTTTAATGCATTCACTCATACACTTAGAGCTTGAAAGGATCTTAGAGGTGATCTAGTCCAGAGGTCAAGCAAACTAAGAAACTCCCCAGTGTGGCCAGAACCAGGTTAAAAATGTAATTGAGAAATGTTTGACCAAATGAATACAAATACAGTACCATAGAAATAATGTTAAATTGTGGCTAAGTCCTGTACAGTCCTTGGATCCATTTCTTTTTGAGTTGGACACCACTGATCTTGTCTATTCCCTTTACTTTATATATGAGGAAATTGAGGCTCAGAAAAGCTAAGTGACTTGCCCAACATCACACAGGGGAAGCAGTGAATAGAACTCTGGTTTGTGAGTCAGGAGCCCTCATTGGCCTGGGATTTAGTCCTTGCTCTATCCCTAGTTAGTCCACTTTGCTGGATCCTCGGGCATATCTGTATCTTACCACCTATGCATGGTGGTATCTTCTCTTTCTTGGTATCTCTTCAAATCACTTGCATTCAGTTGTCAGCATTATGGCAATGACTCAGAAATCTGCATATAACCTCGTACTTACCATATCTAATGGTCTTTTCTCAATCCTTGCTCTTCTTGACCTTTCTCTAGCCTTTGATACTGTCTATCACTCTCTTCTTTTTTCACTCTATCTAGGTTTTTTTATTCTGTCTAAGTTTTCATGATATTGCTCTCTCCTGGTTCTATTATCTGTCTGACCTTTAGTCTCCTTTGCTGAATCTTCAATTCAGGTCATACCCACTAACCATAGAGGTCCCCCAGTGCTCTGTCCTGGGTCTTGTTGTCTGTCTGTAGGATTTCCTTTAATGATCTCTTCTGCTACCTTGGATTCAGTTATCTCTATGCAGATGATTCTCAGATTTATCTACCCCTAATCCCTCTTCTGACCTTCACTCTTTCATCTCCAACTGTCTATTGGACATCTCAAACCAGATGTCTTGGAGATCTTATACTCAACATGTCTAAAATTTATTTCTGTATTTTTTCTCCCAAGCCCTCTCCTAACTTACCTGTTACTTTCAGGGGCACCATAATCCTCCCACTCACTCGGGTTTGCAACCTTGACATCACCCTCAACTCCTTACTTTCTCCTCCACTCCCTCTCCCCACCACCTTCAACCTGTGTATCCAGTCTGTTGCCAAGTCCTTCATAACATCTCTCTTAAATGCAGTCCTCTCTCTTCTGACACTGCTGTCACCCTGGTGATCCTCATCACCTCACTCATAATACTATCCCAATAGTCTGCTGGTTGGGCTGCCTGCTTCAAGTCTCTTCCCCTGCTTCAATCCATCTGCCTCTCTGTCAAATTGATCTTCCCAAAGGACAGGTGTGACCATGTCACCATCCCTAACCCCCATTTAATAAACTCTGATGGCTCTCTTTTACCTCCAGGATCAAGTATAAAACCCTCTGGCTTTTAAAGCCTTTTATAACCTGGCCTCTCCCTTTCTTTCCAGTCCTCTTACACTTTACTTCTTTCCATGTACTCCAAGATCCAGTGACACTGATCTCCTTGTATTCATCATACATGATACTCCATCTCCCAACTCCTTGCATTTTCATTGACTGTCCCCCTGCCTGTAATTCTCTCCCTCTTCGTCTCTGTCTCCTGGCTTCCCTCAAGTCCCAGTTAAAATCCTGTTTTCTATAAAAAGCATTTTCTGATCCGCTTAGTGATAGGCCTTCTCTTGAATTATCTCCAGTTTATCTTGCATATATCTTATTTACACAGGATGTTTATATGTTGTCTCCCCTACTAGACTGTGAGCTCTTTGAGAGCAGGGGTCTTGCTTAACAGTGTCTGGCACATAGGAGGAAAGGGTAGGGTTATTAAGTTCCTACTATGTGCCAGGCACTATGCTAAGTACTTACAAATCTCTGATTTGATCTTTATTACAACCCTGGGAAGTAAGTGCTGTTATTATCTCCATTTTTATAGATGAGGGAACTGAGGCAGGCAAAGGTTAAGTAACTTACCTAGATGTCACACACCTAGTAAATGTCTGAGGCCCGATTTGAATGCAGATCTTCCTAATTCTAGGCCCAATACTGTATCCACTGTGCCACCTAGCAGCCTCATTCTTGTTCCATCGTGTCTGATTTCTTTGTGACCCTGTGGACCATACTGTCCATGAGGTTTTCTTGGTAAAGATACTGGAATGGTTTGCTATTTCCTTCTCCAATGCATTAAGGCAAACAGAGGCTAAATGACTTGCCCAGTGTCAAACAGCTAGTAACTTATCTGAGGCTGGATTTGAACTCAGGTCTTCTTGACTCCAGGCCCAGTGCTCTACCCACTGAGCCACAGCTGCTTCTAGCAGCCTCATAGGCAGCACTTAATAAACGCTTATTGACGTGTGGTTTTCAGGGAATCTTAATTTCTCTCACCCAGACTTTTTTTTTCTAAGTCACTTTTTTTTAATGTCATATATTTTACATTTTCTTCTATTTGTTTAGTTATTTGGCTTTGTTCCAATATTTCTTGCTGTCTAATGGAGTCATTGATTTCTATTTGATACATTCTACTTTTCTTGGAGGCTGTTTCTTAGGTTTGCCACTTTCAGTTCTAATCTATTTATTCTCCTTACAATTCTTTCTTTCTGAGCTTTTATTTAATATTTTTAATTTCTTCATTTAAAAAAAAATCCAATTTAGTTTATTTTTTTGTTCCGAATTCTCTCCTCTCCTTCTCTCCTCCCCTCCCTCACCAATTTCGAAGGCAAGGGAGGTAAAAGTTATTACAGATACACACACACACACACACACACACACACACACAGTCATACAAAACAAACCCCCACATTAACTTTTCTGAAAAAGAAAAAAATATGCTTCAGTTTGTTCTCTGAGTATATCAGCTGTCTATCAGGAGGTGGATAGCATGCTTCATCATGAGCCCTCTGGAATTGTGGTTGGTTACTATACTGATTAGAGTTTTCATTCTTTCATTTTTTTCAGTGTATTAATGTAGCCTTGTGGGGGTGGCCAAATATGGAAGTGGAACCACCTTTAGAACCCGTAAAGAATACAATGTAGCAGTGTACAGTTGTCACAATACCATCGTGTAGAGACATGGCAAGGATTCAGTAAATTACTCATTCATATTTATTAACTGGTGCCCTAAAAGCTTAATTTACTTATAATAAATAAACAGTAGTTTAAGGTAATAAGCTGATATTTGTAAAGCATTTGCAGTTCTTGACTGAAATGAACTATTTAAGTGTTCATAAAATTAGTAGTCAAAAAAGAGAGGTTAAAATGCTTGAGTCCCAGCTAGCTTTCCCGTAGGCTGTCAAACCTGCTGATTGTCTTTGGGCCTAAGGCAAGTAAATAAAGCTATGTAGTTAAGATTCTAGTATGAAGGCTATTTGGTGGGTATATAGAAATATTGATACACTATATGCTAGCTCTGTATTAACACAAAGGACTTTAATTTTTTAATAGCTTTTTGGATTTATTCATTCAAAATTCATTTTTTAAAAATTATGTATAGTGCATTAGTGCTAGGAGATGAAAGCTCCAAAAAGATTAAAAAGACATGGCTCTTGCCTTTAGGAAACTTATGCTCTAGTTATTGAGCTGTAGTGGTTAGATCAGAGAAGGAAAAGGGAAACTCTTGAGGAGTTCTACTCTTTTTACCAAGGGGAAAAAAAAACTCATGAATTTGAGCTAACATTAGCATCTGTTTCAGGAACAGAACATGTTTCCTAGTCTTCCCAAATTATGGGATCTTTATATATGTATTGCATCTAGAGATACTAAAGTTTGTAGTATACCATATTTCATGTGTGTTGGAATTCTCCACAAAGTAGTTGACATTCCTTTCTTCAGCATGAGTTATGTTATTCAAAGAAAACATACCATTCACACCCTCTTTGTGTGCACATTTTCTAGTGCGTTGGAGAATATTAAATTCAATGGAAATCTTTGTTTTTTCTTGAAACTTAACTACAAATATATATACTTTTTTTTAAAACAGGAATTGATTTTAAAATAAGAACAATAGAGCTGGATGGAAAGAAAATCAAACTGCAGATCTGGTAAGTCAGGCACAAGCGCACCCCCTTTAGCTTAATCAGGAATAGAACAATATCCCATCATGACAAAAGCATCTTTAATTTTAACAGATAGTATTGGAGAAAACCAGGAAAGTACTGAACACTGTATCTGACTTCAGTTAAAACGAAGGCCTTCAAATATGGAAAAGATTTCTTTTTCTTTTTTTAGTCTTTCTAGATATCTACACACCTCACCCACACAACAAGGGCTGTAGCTGCAGCAATGAGACTAGATAATTTTATGATGGAAATACCTCCCTTCACTTTTGAACTGGAATAGAGGTGAACATTGGCATGGGAGATGAGGAAAAGACTAGTACCATCTCCCATCTCTATTCCCACAGTAAGTGAAAAGGAATGAGATGCATCTTTAGGTTTACCTAAATGCTTCCCTATTGTGGTCACTTATCTTATACTTTTGTATTTAGCTAGTTAAATGCCTGTAGCTACTTGGCTTATTGGATAGAGTTCTGGGCCTAGAGTCAGGGAGACCTGAGTTTATTTGTCAATAATTTTTTTGTTGTTGTTTTTGCTTTTTGACAAGGCAATCGGGGGTAAGTGACTTGCCCAAGGTCACACAGCTAGTAAGTGTCAAATGTCTGAGGCCAGATTTGAACTCAGGTCCTCCTGACTCCAAGGCCGGAGCTCTATCCACTGCATCACCTAGCTACCCTGAGACCTGAGTTTAAATCCAGCCTCAGACACTTACTAAATGTATGACCCCAGACAAGTCACTTAACCTCTGTCTGCCTTAATCCACTGGAGAAGGAAAGGGCAAGACACCCCAGCATCTTTGCCAAGAAAATCCCATGGACAGTATTGGTATGATATAATCCATGGGGTCATGAAGAGTTGGGCATGACTGAACAACTGAACAAGTTTAAATGCCTGAGGAATTTATCAACACTTAGTTAACAAAGGGCCCAGAACTGAATAGGGAAAGGAAAACAGTCTGGAATGTTAATTAAAAGCAGAGTCTGCTTTTAATGACTCCAAGCTTCTCTTGGAACGCCAGTATTCTGTTGGTGACCCAATGATTCTATATGACTTTGAAACATGGAATAACACTTTCTTCAAAGAATTAAAGTTGCAGATCTAAAGAACAATGGGAAGATGTATGGTGAGCCTGTGTAGGGTAGGGTCAGTAATGAAAATTTTTTACTGAAGTAGAATGAGTAAAAGATAATAGTAAAATTATCTATAGTCAGAAAGGGAAGTGGACTGGGAATGTAACAAAAAAAGAACGAACTGATGGATAGTCTGAGAGCTATATTGGTACCCATGCAATGAAAATAAATTTAGAGAAAAAGATCTTAATATTTTAGATGGACCTTCTGTAGAAAATGTGGGAGAATGTGGATAAGAATCTTGAACCATGAGAAAGCATGGATGGGTTGCAGTCTGCACTGTTGCAATGACAGCTATGGATTCATCCAAATAATTAACTAAGATGGTTCTTATAAATTGACAAATTAAATGGTTTTCTCTTGAGGGCAAAAACCAATTGTCCCTGTCTTCATAGAATCATAAATATCAGAGCTGAAAGAGACCTTAGAGATTGCTAGTTTAATTTGCACATAAAGAAAATTGATTCCAGAAAGGGTATATAGCTGAAGGTCACATAGCCAGCTAGTGACAGAGTCAGGTTTCCTGACTCCCAGGTCAAGGCTTTTTTTTTGTCTTTTTTCCACACAGTCTTCACTGGAACACAGCATTGACAACATAGGTTTTTCCTTTAATAATTTAGTAGCCAGTGTTACTGGTGCACACATGCTCTGTCTGGCATAAAAGTTCTAAGTACCTCACTAATCATTCTTTGAATGTTCAAACATTTAATTCTTGACCTTAAGCTAATGAGTTCTCTTTCCTTTATGTTCTATCCTAATGTTATTTTCTGTGTGTTTTGGAAGAGAAAGAATTCCTGATCCCATGTCCTTATAATTGTGGGTATGAGAACAAGGAAACATGGGTCCAGTAGTCTTTAAGAACTTGTTTATGAGCTTACAGGTTAAAAGAGGGAGTTGAATTATATTTCCAGGGTTGTTTTCTGCTGATATCCATAGAGTGAGCAAGCTTTTTGTGATTTTGTTCATTATCACCTCCACCAGCAACCAGTTCTACATTTAAACCTCCAGCTTCTCACTTCTTATGGCCAATAAATCTGATGAGGCTGTTCCAAAATATTTGGTCTCTTTTCCTCCCACTGATTTTCATTCCTTTGCCCTCCCCCTCATATCTTTTTGTTTTTCCATGTATCAAATAGATGTTTTCAATTTTCTAACAGATTCCAATTGAATTTCTGCTGAGGTGTGTAGACCTTAGGTCTGCATTAGGCTTTTTTTGTGCATCTGTCTTACCTACCAATTTGCAAGTGCCTTTTAATGCTACTTAGTTTCTCTGAGTCTAGGGATTTAGTTATTTCTAGATGCAAGTAGCAAATTTTGGGACATTGACTTTCCCAAATGTCAAGAAAATCTGACTTTTTACTAGATATTTCCTGATAAATATAACAAATTTGTAGCCTGTTCATTACACAGAGCCTGTTGCTTATGGTGTCACCTACCTAAAAACAGACATTAGAGTTTTTGTTTGAAAGTTTACAAGGATTAACAAAGGGTATGTATTAGACTCTGATATCTCAGTTTAATAATGGACTCTATTGCTTACAAAATTATTCAACAGATCCAATTTAGCATGCTTTACTGAGTAGTTTCTACATTATTTCAGCTCACTTGATTATTTTGTGAAGAAATTTATATTAAAAGGAAATTTCTTTTGTTAAATCTTTGTAAGTAGTTATTTTAATAGTCCCTCTTGGAGTCAGAAAATTTGAAACTATTATATCCTCCCACAAGTTTGGAATGGCATTATATTCCAGTTGAGTTCACTTATTTTTCTCTCGCTCTATGAGTCCCTGAGATCCAGGATTCTTACAGATGTCTTTGTGATTTCCTGACAGGTTCTATAACTGCTACCACTTCCAAATTTCAGGAGTCCCTTGGGTTCCTTTTCTTCTTTCTTAATAAAATACTGCGCTTATTACCCTGAATAATGTCATGCATAGTTCACAGTTTTTCTTCAGTAATGACAACTTTTAATATTATTGTTTTCTTTCTTTTGAATTTTAGGGACACAGCTGGCCAGGAAAGATTCAGAACAATCACAACAGCATATTACAGAGGAGCCATGGTGAGTATATATTAAGGTTTTCTAATATTCAGGTGAAAATAAAACATTAGTTACTCCTTTTTTCAGGATTATAGGATTGAAGTTAGATTCCAAATTATAGTTGTCATGGTTGAAGGAGCTTTCTTGATAAGGAAAACTAGAACTAAAAATGCTTTTTTTTTTTTTTGCCATGCTCTTTGCTATTGTCACCTTTTAGTGATAATTACATGGTTACAGGTTCTGAGATTTCTCATACTTTAACATATCACTGGCCTTATAACTGTTCACTGTTATCACATTCTGCTTGTCCCTCCTGTAGTCACACCCTTCCCTCACTAAGTCACTTCTTATCTTCCTCTGTGTCCACCCTAATGGCATCTCTTTCCCATGGCTCACCTATGATCGGTTTCTTTGGTAGCTTTTTAACTGGTGAGGAAATAAGTGACTGGAAGATTTGTAGCTCTATGAAGCTTGAAATCCAGTGGAGATAAATACTGTCCACATAAATCTTGCCCACCAGATCCTTCTTTGTTACTTACTGATTTAGCCCCAATTTGATCCCTTACATTTTGGCTGTTGTTTTCTGGATAGCTTGGGAGTAAGGCTGGCCTGAAGTATAAGCTCAGTTTTAGTCACCATAGCTTATCTCTGGCTCTCAGACCTACCTTCAGGAAGACTCATATTGAAATTTTGAATTATGATACAATTTTAAATATGTTCAAAGGTACTTTTGGGCTTTGGTACCAACTAGACCTGGAATGTTTCAAGGTACATCCCCATAAATAGAAATCAAAGTTTAAATGGCTTGCTGATAAGGTGAGAAGGACTAATCTGATTGCTATTATAATTCTTTAGCTTTAGACAAATTGCTTAAATTTCCATTCCTTTAATTCATTTTTTGTTAAATTGAGGTCTTAATGTATTAGAAGAAAGATACTCTAGATTTTGGAGTCAGGTGTTAACCTCCCCATTGTCTTCTGCTTGAAATATATAACATTAAAATGAAGTATAATGTTTTTTCTGGTTTGTTGACCTTTAAATTCAAAGACCTTTTCATTGTGGTGCTAAGTGCTTTAGAAATACTGAAAATGGGGTTTATGGCTTCAATTCAAAGAATTGTTTACTGAATCTCTTATAAGGGCAGGTGAGGTGCTATGGTAGGCTCTGGGGATACAAAGAAGAATGAGAAATATACCCTTTGCCCTCAATTAGCTCACATTCCAGCAAATATACTGTGTTTGAAATATGTATGATTTACCTAGATTATTACTGAAATTTTGACTACTCCACTTTAGAAGAAATCATTCAAAAGTAATATGGTTTCACTCTTGCTTCAGGAGCAGTATATAAGGCAATTTTTAAAGAAGCATAAATTGTGGGATGATAATCTGTTTTAAATGTTATTGCTGCTTTTAACATTAGATACTCCTTCAATGCTAGTCCAGCCATTCTGGAAAGCAGTTTGGTACTGTGTCCCCAAAGCTATTAAATGTGCATACCTTTTTACTCAGTCATTTCACTGCGAGGTCCCTACCCTAAAGAGATCAAAGAAAGAGTGAAAGGATCCATATGTATAAAAATATTTGACAGCCCTTTTTGTGATGGCAAAGAATTGTATGCTGAGGGGATGTACATTATTTGGGGGAATGGCTGAATCAGTTATGGTATATGAATGTGATGTAATACTATTGTGCTGTAAGAAATTATTAAAGAGATAGTTTCAGAGAAACCTGGAAAAACTTAAATGAACTGATGCAAAATGAAGTGTGCAGAACCAAGAGAACAGTTTATACAGTAACCATAATATTGTAAAGACAAACATCTTTCAAAGATTTTGAAACTGTGATCCACACAGTGAGCAACCACAATTCCAGAGGAGTAATGATAAAACATATTACCCATTTCTAGATAGAGAGGTGATGGATTTAGAATTCACATTGAGGTTAAGGGCTTGTTTTGTTTTGTTTTCAATATGGTCAATGTGGGAATTTGTTTTGCTTGATTATAAATGTTTGTTATAGGTTTTGTTTTTCTTGGTTTCTCAATGGGGAAAGAGGAAAGGGGTTGGGGAGGAAGAGGGAGGGAGGGAAAGAATTAGGACCTGAAAATAAAATAAAATTGAATTTAAAAAATACTCTTTCAGCACTACTTAATTCTGATTTGTATCACAGGACAAAATGGAATGGTTATTTCACTTAAAACTAATGTGACTCCCTATAATCATTAATTAAAGCTTAATTATGAGAGTTTCATAGCACCTTTGTAAGATGCTTTTGGGAAAGATTCATAAGTAATCATGTATAATGTAAAAAATAATCTAATATGTTTCTTCTCTCTTAGGGAATTATGCTGGTATATGACATTACTAATGAAAAATCTTTTGAAAATATTAAAAACTGGATAAGAAACATTGAAGAGGTATTTGAGGAAAAATTTTGTTTAGTGGGAAAATAGGGGAGGGGCAGAGTGAATGGTAGTCTTTGAAACTAACTTTTCCTCATGGACTAATGAGGCTTACTTTTGTCTACCTAGGAGTTAGATCGTTTGCTGAGATGTTGAAGCTTCTATAAAATTATAGAAGAGTTGAATTTCTAGTATAATCAGTCTGGCTTTTTTCATTAGCAGTAAACAGTCTTGACTGAAACTGAATTCTCAAAATTGAACTATGGAGATTGCTCAGTATGGAGTGAGTACACTGGATTGAGAATGATGATTGGGTTGAGTCTTGGCTTGACTGTTTACTGGTTGTGTAACCATGGGAAAGTTAGTTTACTTCTCTGAATTTCAGTATCCACATATGTAAAATGGAAAGGTTGATACTTACCTTGCTGGACTGTTGGAGAAGAGGTACTACCCAGGATTTACCAGGAATCTTTGTGCAGTGTTGAGCTGTGAAGGCTTTCATTATTAAATTATTAATATTAATTATTAAACCTTTAATAGCTGAACACTGCATGAAGATTTCTGGACACTGTATAAATGCAAGTTATTCACGTTCTTACAACAAAAAATTGAAATGAAAGGATTTCACAAAATTTTAGAGCTAAAAGAAACCTTAAAAGACAGTCCAAGGAGTAGCAGGAAGAAGTACAGTGAACTTCCCCTCCTACTTCTCTCCCTCTGCCAAAAAAAAAACAAACCCTTCCAGACATATCTAGAATATGCATCTGACTCAATTCGATTGGGAAATTCAAGAAAAAAACAAAACAAAACCATGGGTCATTTTTCCAGCACAGGTCAGCAAAGGGAAAAAACTAGAGAAGTCTAGCCAGGGGCACATTCCAGCCAGGAAAAGGCTATGCATCAGGGCCAGAAGTCCCAGATCAAACATAAAGGGGCCTAAAATAATATAGGGTGTGGGTACAGGTGCCATCTGGCCACTGTGTTGCTTACTACCCAGTTGGAGATCAGAGATCCAGAGAAGACTAAATAGGGGACTGGCTCCTGTGGTCAAATTCCAGGGTAAGGGCCTTAGGGCATATACCCAGCAAGAATCAAGTTCAGAAGCAAACAGAAGCTGTGTGGCTCAGACCCCAGAGGCAAAGTGGGATCTCAGTTTAAACTTCTAGTACAGTCTGAAACCCACAAAGGAAGAGCCAGGACAAGACTCTCAAACCAAAGGGAATTCACTCTATAATAGCAGCACTTTCCAGGTCACTGAGGTGAGTCTAACAACTGTCTACTGAAACTCCAAAGGGGGCAAGGCCAAAGACCTGTTGCTCAGATCCAAACCCAGGTTGGTAACTTACAGAGCTCAGATGGAGGTGGGAGGACAGCATTCAGCCTTTGCCCTTGATCAGACCACTTTGGGAGCACTGAAAACTTTCAGATATCCTGCCTGAACTGCCCCTGAGATCCTAGAATAACGTTATTACGTTACTTAGTTCCCCAAGAAGGCAACATCAGGATCAGCTTAGGTACTACCTCCTGAAGTGCATGCAGCCCAGCCCTAACATAAAGTCCAGAGTCAGGAAGTAGGCTAGAAGAATGAATAAACAAAGAATTACACCATAAAAAGCTGTTATGGTGATAGGGACACTCAAGATACAAACCCAAAAGTAGAGAATGACTCCAAAATATCTGCAAGCAAAGCCTCAAAGAAAAACACATCTTGAGTACAAGTTCAACTAGACTTCCTGGAAGAGATAAAGCAAGAGGTTTTGTGGTTTTTTTAAAAAGAACTAAATAGGTTTTTATAAATGAAATGAGAATATTAGAGGAAAAGATTTGAAAAGATATGAGAGCTACAGAAGAAAGAATTGGAAAGGAAATTAATAGCTTTGTGCAAGACGTACAAAACCTTGCCCAAGCAACAAATTCCCTGAAAATTAGAACAGACCATTAGAAGCCAATGACTTCATGAGACAAGAAAAACATTAGTTTAAAACAAAGTCAAAAGACTGAAAGTATAGGGGGGAAAGTAAGGTATTTTCATAGCAAAAACAACTGACCTGCAAAACAGATTGAGAAGAGACAATTTAAGAATCACTGAAATTATCTGAAACCATGACCAAAAAAGAGCAAAGATACTATGTTTCAAAAAATTATAACGGAGAACTTCCCAGATTTCTTACAACCAGAGGGAAAGGTAGAAATGAAGAAAATCCATCCATCAGATAAGAAAGGCTCAAATGAAAACTTCCAGAAACATAGGATCACAGCCAATTTAGTAGCCACCACTGTGAAGGATCTTGGAATGTGACTTTCCAGAATGTGAAAGATCTAGGCTTAACAACCAAGAATAACTTATCCAGTAAAACAGCATAAAGCTATAGGGGGAAAAATAGATCTTTAATCAGTTAAAGGACTTCCAAATATTCTTGATGAAAAGAAACTTTGAAGTGCAAAAGAGTCAAGAGAAATAGCTAAACACAAACAATCATAAAGAATCAGACATGGATAAACTATTATAATACAAGAAAATGATAGGGTTCCCCTTTGAACCCTATCATTATTGGTAGGTCATAGAAAGACTCTGATCAGACAGGAGGCCTAGGAGTGGTTTTATTATGTCTTAATGATCTTAAAAGGAGAATGGGAAGGGAGGGGAAGAGAAATACAAAGTGAGGAAAGGGAGAGGAAAGTTAGGTTATCTTACATAATCTGGGGTGCACAAATAGATGTCTATACAAACAAGCAGGAAGGAATGGGAAAATGGCTGGCACTTTGACCTCTCATCTGAACTGATCAACGTTTACACACACACACACACACACACACACACACACACACACACACACACACACACACAGAGTTAGGTACAGAAATACATTTTACTCAACAGGGAAATATGGATAAGAAGAAATTAATTAGAGGGCAGGTAAATTTAGAGAGGGCTTAGTCCTCAGTAAAACAAACTCTGAGAAGTTACAAAGAATATTTTTAGTTCTTTTTTGTAGTGGCAAGAATTAGAAACTGGGGGTTCCCATCAGTTGGGGAGTGGCTGAATAAGCTATAACATAAAATGTGATAGAATACTATTATGTTGTAAGAAATAATGGAGATGGTTTCAGAGAAACCCAGAGACACTTAAATGAACTGATAAAAAGTGAAATGAACAATGTCAAGAGACCAATTTATATAATGATGACAATATGTTAAAGACAATCAACTTTGAAAGACTTAGGAAATCTGGTTAGTGTAATGACCAGTCATGACTTCAAAGCACTGATGATGAAACATGCCATTCATTTTCTGATAGAGAAGTGAAGAATTCAGGGTACAAAATGAGACAGTTTTCTTTTGGACATGGTCAATGTGGAAATTTATTTTGGTTGACTCTATATATTTGTATCCAGAATTGTATTTTTCTTTCTCAGTTTTGACTAGGGTATGAGAAGGAAGGAAGGTGGATTTTTCCTGATTAAGAAAAATAAAATTTAATTTAAAAAAGTATGAGAAAAAAAGATCTAGTCCAATCTCTTCATTTTATAGATAATGACACCAAGACCCCAAGAGATTGTCATCAGTCATTATATAGCAAATTAATAGCTATTGTAACTAGAATTCAAGTTAACTGATTCTCAAAACAATGTTCTTCCCACTAGCTCTTGTTATTTTATTATACTTTTGCCCTTATTACATTTTTTTCCCTTCTTGGTAACCCTTAGATTTGAAGGTATAGGAGCTATAGTTTAATTTAGGCTTCATAAACATTTTTTTTAATTTGAGAATTTTTTTTCTCTTTAACTTTTATAAAAAGGGACTATCAATATGAAATGATTTTTAGGCATATCCATATCAACCTCCAAAGAACTTAATCTTACAGTATTTATGGATCCAAGATATCTTTCCTACTTTTTCATTCCAAATTGTATTATTGCTAGTAATAATTCAAAAAGTGAACCTGCTGTGGATAGATAAGTTTCATATCAACTTTTTCATGCATAAAATAGCCAGATACCATAATGAAACTAAGTAAATCTTTGCTCAGGCTCCCTGAAGTCTTATGTTATGGCTTCCTCTGTCTTGTTTACTTTTTTCTTTTTAAGGATAAAGCTTTATATCAAATAAATTACATAGTTTTATTTCTTACAAAACATGTACATATTTCTGACAAAATTTAGAATTTGATGAATAATTTACTTTCCTCAAGGTCTCTTTACAAGGTTTTCTTTTCCCTTTGTAGCATGCTTCTTCAGATGTTGAACGAATGATCCTGGGCAACAAAAGTGATATGAATGACAAACGACAAGTATCTAAAGAAAGAGGAGAAAAGGTAAATTTTGACTGAATACCAGAATAGTTGAAATTTATCCAAGATAAACAAACATCATCTGTATCATTTAAAAAAAAACAACAGCAGCTTTTATTCACCATCCTGAGGGTGTATCTGATTTATAGTTCTTTAAAAGTAGATATTCGCCTAAGAAATAATCCATATCAGAAAGGTGTAGATTAGTATTTACATCTGAAGCTACTGAGCTAATAAGTCATTGCTGAGAAATTTGTTACATGTTGTCTATGGAAAAAAAAGGGTTTGGGGCCAACTAGTCGGGAGGACCTGAGTTCAAATCCAGCCTTAGACCAAACACTTGCCACTTACTGGCTGTGTGACCGTGGGCAAGTCACTTAACCCCAGTTGTCTAAAAAAAAAAGAAAAGAAAGACTTTTCAAATTCCTTATAGCATTAAAGGTCCTGTCTCTAAATTTATTATATAAACATACCCAGAAATGGCGGTGGGGGGGTGTGGGGTGTGGGGATCAGAGTGTCACTGAGGTTTTAATAGCAGCTAATTCTCTATTCATAATTTTTATAAGAACTTTTTACTGAGCAGCAGTCACATATCACTCTACACAAGTAAGCCTTTTAGTTCTTCAAGCTATGGACTAAGCTTTTCATGGTATTTATTAGAATTTTCATAATTTCATATCTGCTTAACTCAAGTACTTAGAATTCACTTTTAAAGAAAAGCATTTTTTTACATATCTTTTAAATTGGTTTCAAGTGTTAGTGTATAGTTTTTAACTCTTATAATTTAGTTTTATGCTTGGTTTAAATGATATGTACAAGATATAGTTCATGTGTTTCAAACAAGACTGTAGATATTTTTTGCTCTTATAACATTTACCATTAGTGGCCTTCAGTAGTATAAATTACTTATTTACTATTTGGGAGTTAAGTGAAAAAGTAAATAAATACTTCGTTAATCAAAAAAAGATTTAAGACATGCATTTTTGGTACTTAAACTTGTTTCTATACTGCAGGATTCTGTTACACCAGTGAATCTATTCCATCACTATTATAATGGCTATAGAAAAATTGCATAAAAAGGGCTAATTTCTGCCCTTAGACAAATGGGCTGGCTTAGGCATACCCCAAATTAACAACAAGAGTTTCTATTTTAGAGCTAAAAGACAAAAGAATGTCCTTTATCTTGTTGCTCTGTAAACAGAAGATATAGGTATTTTGAAAATAAAAGTTGTAACTTTATTACCTAGCTTTTGTACCTAAGTCAAATGATTATATTTGTGATTATAATATAGTCTGAATAAGAAGTCGGCATAACTCCAGACTTCCAAGATAGACAGCTTGCTTCTTACTCTTGAAATGTAAATCTTAGAAACTATTTATAGGCATCCTTTGTCTGATCCACTGTGGGGAAGGATCAGGAGAAAACAGGAGGTTACCGTGTGTGTGTGTGTGTGTGTGTGTGTGTGTGTGTGTACGTGTGTGTGTGTACACACATTTTTGTTTTGAGTATGTCAATGGTTTTATATGTAATAAAAATCTTTTTCATTTGTTTTGCAGTTAGCAATTGATTATGGAATTAAATTCCTTGAGACAAGTGCAAAATCCAGCATAAATGTAGAAGAGGTAAGAGATTCTTGGCCAATTAATTTTTCTAGTACTTAGAAGCTTATGACAGAACAAATTCCTTAACCATTTTGCCTCTTAACCTAGTAAATAAATTTATATTGACAACCTGTATTCTGTATTTTTTTTTTTTGCAACTGACTTTTGTACTGAACTCTGGTTGTTGGATTTCTAGTATTCACTCTTCACATGGATTTCTGTTGCTCAATAGAGAATTAAGTTCTGTTGAGTTAAAGATAGAAGGATAATTTCATTTTTTCATTCACCTGAGAATTTAGAAGTCTTGCAGTATCAAATATAGTAGTCTTCCTTACCTATTTGTAACTATTTGTATCATCTTAGAAATGCCCAAAGCAGAAAGATATTAATTGCTTTCAAGTCTGTGCCTTAGAACTCTCTCTGTCTGGAGGACTGAACTATTAGTTTATTAAGCAGATTCCTTTCTTATACACATTTGGAATATATCAATTATGTACTGTGATAATAATGTTATTTCAGATTTATCAGAAAATGTCTTTAATTAAATGATAATAAATTGGAAGGTTAAAACACACATAGAGAAACTGCTGTAAACTGAGTTTTTTAAAAGAAAGAATTGTTGGTAGTGTCAAACATTTAGTTTCTTAGGGCACTTGATTTACAATTTAGACTTGAATGGATTAAGAGCCATTTCTGACACTTAATATGACCGTGGCCAAGTCATTTAACCTCTGTGAGTCTCCTTTTCCTAAATTGTAAATAGGGATAATAATACTACAGTACCTTTCTCACAAGTTTGTTATGAGGATAAGATAAAAAAAGTATGTAAAGTGCTTTGTAAAACTTGAAATGCTGTATAAACATCAGCCATATATGCCATGCACACATACATGTGCATATAGCATTTATAAAGCACGTTTATAAAGCACTTTACATATATCATCTCATTCATAACAACCCTGTAAGAAGTGAGTACACTATTATTATTAGCTCCATTTTATAAAAGAAGAAACTGAGGCTCATAGAACTAAGTAGCATTCCAAAGGTTGCATAGCTACTAAATGGCAGAACTGGGATTTAAACCCTTGTCTTCTGACTCCTAAATTCATGTTATTCTCGCTATGCTAAAAGGACAGTTACTGGACTTTTGATTTTATTGGCATGGGGAACTACAGGATGAGGAAACTTTTTCTACCAGTGCAGGTTGGCAACTTCTGTGCAATTTATAGTCTTAGAGAGTTTCCTAGCATGCTGAGAAATTCCCAGGAATACATAGCCAGTAGGTATCAGAAGCAGGACTTGAATCCAGATCATTTTGGTCTGAGGCCAGCTCTCAACCTATTACACCATGTTGCTTTTATATTATACTATTTAAAATATGATAAAACACTTTAGAGAACTCCAAATTAAGTGATTTTGAGAATTCACTTTTGACTGAAGGTAGCAAGAGATCGGAGAAGACTTGATGAAAGAGGTGGTAGTGTTCATGTTGAGCTTTGGAGGATGAGAACGATTTCCTGAGACAGAGATGAAGTAGGGGATGAGATAAGTACATTTCAGGAATGATACGGTATGAGCAAAAGCTTAGAGGAACAGAATTTTTAGGCTTGATTGAATAATCTACAATAAAACCAGAAAGGTAGGTTAGGGCCAGGTTGTAAAGTGCCATAAAAGCCAAAGTCTTGAATCATATGACCAACAAGATGGAGGACTAGACATTTCCTCAGTCAATAAATAATTATTTATTAAAGTTATATTAGGGGCGGGCCTGAATCCACTAGTATCCTGTTGGTTTAGGTTTGGTGTTGGAATGAAATGAGACTCTCATAGATCATTCATCATTTAACAGAATTGAGCTTTACATTAACCTTAACATAGAAGGTCTATATTCAACTGAGATAAAGTAGCACTCAGCCTGAGTAGATATGGCCCCTCTCCCCTCCTTATGAAAAAAGTGTCTGATCAATAGAACAGGGAAGGGTGACTTGAGCAGCCTAACGTCAAGTCAGAAGGGCCTGGATGGGCCTTGGGAGACCAGAAACCCATGACAATCTGGCCTAAAGCCACCAGGAAGCTGTGTTAAGGAATGCTTGACTTGAGCCTCAGTAGCCTGGGACACTCAAATCACAAGGACTGCCTTTTCACCTTTAAGGGAAAAATCTAACCCATGTGGAAGGGGGAACCTTGGTAAGTAGTAATCTTATTATAATTTACTATTTTCTAGGCATTGTGCTAAGCACCAGGAATACAAAGAAAGTAAAAAATGAAGTCTTTGCCTTCAGAGGTCTTAAATTCTAATTGAGGAGACCACCAAACAATCTTACACACACACACACACACACACACACGATATATGCAGTGTAAATTGGAGATGATTTCAGAGGAGGCATTAGCAGTGGGGGAGAAAGTGAAGGGGGAGGCCTCTTGCAGAAAGTTCAATTTGAGTTGAATTTTAAAAGAAGCCAGGGAATCCAAGAGGAAAAGGTGAGGAAGGAGAATTGCAGGTATGAGACAGCCAATGAAAATGCAGAGTGAGATGTAGTATCATGTACAGCCCATATGGGGTCTAGACCCACAGTTTAAGAAGCATTGAAGGGATTGGGAGTAGGAAAAGTTTAAGAAGCCCTGTTCTAGAATATCCAGAAGAGAGCAGCAATTAGCAGCGTCAGAGGTTGCAAAGAGGTTAAGAATGATGATCAAAAAAAAAGGACATTAGATTTGATAAATAAGAAATAAGAAAGTGAGTGACAGGGGATATAAGTGGAAAAAAGCAAAATTACTAAGGGGCTCAGGGGAAGAAGGGGAAGACAGTTAAATGCCTAGAACATAAGCAGGTATTATTACCTGGAAAAAATACTAAAATCAGAAAAGAAGTTGGTTACCAAGACACTTAAAAGATTGCAAATCTCTAAATAAATACCACAAAACAAAAGAAATTAAGTCAGTACCTGGTGAAACACAAAACCCTGTGGATTTTCAAGAGAACTGCAACAAGATATTCTTGATGGTTCAAGAGAAAAATCAGAATCTTAAAAGCAGTTAAGGGAGAACAAATAGCAGAATTTGACCTCTGCAACTGAAATAATCATTAGAATAGGAAAAATTTGATTTCATGGTGGTAAATCTCTCCAGTGAAGTGAAAGAGAAAACAACCAGTTTGGAATGCAAATATACTGAAGTAAAAGACAATTTAGAATTAAAAAAAAAAACAAATGCTAGAACACTAAAAAAGCACATGATTTCTATACAGGCAAAATACATTGATCTTGGAGACAACTTTAGGATCATAGGCTACATGGATATGGGAGGCATAGAGAGAAAGTTATCATAAGGTTGAACAAAAGATGTGTCGTAGATTCTTTATTTGGCATATCATTAGAGATGGTTGTATTGCCCACTGTGATGTGGGAGTTGGGTATAGGATAGAGTCAAGAAATTAATCTTGGCTGTTTTCATCTCGAGACATTGAGAATATCTAAGATATTTTATAGGCAGAGTACTACACAGGCAGGTACTGAAAGAAGATGAAAGAAGAACTTAGGGATAGAGAAATAGATTTGCGTGTACTTTATTCATTGATAGTTATTGAATCTATAGGAGAACATTGGTTTGCCCAGAGTACTGCTATTAAATTGTTAGTAGTTTGATGCAAAAATAAGTGAGGCCAGAGAGATAAGATCTAAATTAGGTAACAATTGCTTCTTAGAAGCTCAAATCAGAGACTGTATTGAAGAGTAGGTCCTAGTCCACTGAAGAGGAGGCTAGTTTTTTAAACTTGTTAACAAGAGGTTTGCTAGTAATTATAGTAAATGTAGATTCTTTTAAGTGCAGGTAGCAGAAATCAAGGGGTCCAGGAACAAAGTAGCTGACGAGTTCACATGAGGTTCAGAAAAACACCTCTCTAAAAGAGCTTTAACAGTGAAATAAATGGAGGGAAATGAGGCAGTAACAGAAATTGAATTACTCCTACCACCCATCTCCTTTGCTTCTATTCACATGTTAATAAGTGGGGCTGGAGGAAACCATGAAATGGTGCTGACATTATCCATATAAACTTATATTTTCTAATCTCAACTGGGCCCTCTATGCAGCAAGCAAATGTTCTATTCCTTCCCAGTTGATTTATTGTTCCACTCTCCAAAGACCACCTTGTCTCTCTTCAAGCCTTCTGTTGCACCTTCTCTAGTACCCTCTTAGCTAAGGACTTGGCCTCATAACTTCACTGAAAATATGGAGGTATAGACCTCCCTCTTTTCCCCTCCTTCTCATCTTGTACCACTGAGACATCTTCCTTGTGATGTTTAAAAGGTTCAAAAGACACAGTTTCTGGGTAATTAATCATTTTATTAATAATGCTAACATTTTATTAACAAAAGGGTCATTGGCACTCTTGAATGCCAAAGACCCCTCATGGAATCCACTCAATGCTTATATGTCCTTGGGAAGGGTGTTCTTGAGGGTGGCAATCAACTCTGATTGGTTAACAAGTAATGAGAGAATGAATATTATAATGAGAGGTGGACCTATTCCAATGAGGATCCTGGTATACATGACATTGAGCACCCAAATCTTGGTCAGAGACTTATCAATTTCTATATTGCCCATCTGACAAAAGGGGGAATCCACATTTTCTCAGACCTGTCTGAGTAAACACAGTGAGCAGGAATCTACCCATTCATGGGTGTGGTCTTTTGACTGAGGCCAGGTTTTACAGAACAAATCCTTTTACTAAGAGGATTTGTTCTGTGAGTTTGGATTCAGTCAAAGGGCCAAACCTGGGGACCTAGAGGGCCACATGTGGCCTCAAGGCCACAGATTCCCCACCCCTGTCCTAAATTAAGAATTTCTTTGTTGTCTTTGATTAGCTTTTTACTTTTTAACTTTTAATTTCTTGACTGTCTTAGCTTTCATGGCTGAGTAACCCTTTGAGTAAGATTTCCCACACTGATTGATTTCTGGATAAGGAAGTAGAAAAGGAGAAAAACCTTGGGTTTTTGTTCAATAATTAGTTATTAAATACAAAAGAGAAACATCTTTTCTCTCATCCTCCACTATTTCCTCTTTCACTGTGGTCTCAGATGAGGAGATAGTTTTTCTCCTTGCCCTCTACATACAGCCTTGATCTAGCAGATGTCCCTACTATCATGCCCATTCTTATCTTCAATTTCTCTCTATCTACTGGCTCCTTCTCTGCTACCTGCAAACATGCCACATATCTCTCTCATCCACAAAATCATCCTCATTTGATTCTACAATTCTGATATTTATCATTCTATAGTTCTTCTTCCCTTCATGGCTAAGTTCCTTGAGAAAACCATCTGTCCTAGGTACCTACACTTCCTAATCCCTTACTCTTTTCTAAATTTTCTGCAGTATGTCCTCATCTTTCAACTGAAACTGTCCTCTCCAAAGTTACAAATTATCTTTCAATTGCCAAATCTAATGGCCTTTTCTCAATCCTCATCCTGCTTGACTTCTGCTACACTTGCCCTATCGATCATATTCTCCTCCTAGATACTTCCTCTTCTTTAGGTTTTCAGGTAGATAATAGTTAGAAATAAATAGGAACAGTTAAAGATGAAGGTGAGAGAGATTATGAAGAAGGAAGGCAATAATTTATGAAGGTGAGAGCCGTAGGATCCTAGTTAGAGAGCCTGGAATAGTTGTGATTCACTGTGATGAAAGAAGGCAGACTCACATAAAACACTTTTTCTTTGTTTTACTCTGATCATAAGAAATAAAACAAGCATTTCCATTACATAGTAGAATGGGGCAGGGGTGGGAGGTGGAGGGGAAAGTGATTGCACATGAAACTGCAAATCTATTATGTACAACTTGTTATTCCTTTTAAATATACGTTAAAGTTATCAAGATGGCTGCCATTAGACACAATTATGTATATATGTAAAATCGTTCTATACGTGCTTCCATTTATCAGTTCTTTCTCTGGATTCAGATAGCATCTTGCTTCATGGTCCTTTGTGGTTAATTTGGGTATTTTTAATAGTCAAAATGACTTAGTTACTCAAAGTTGTTCTTAAAATGATATTACTATTACTGTATGCAATGTTCTCTTGGCTCTGCTCATTAGGTCTTCATTATTTTGTGCAAATCTGTCCATGTTTTTCTAAGATCATCAACTCATCATTTCTTATAGCACAGTAGTATTCCATCATGATCGTATAACACAACCTGTTCAGCCATTCCCCAAATAAATAACTAGTTCTTTGTCACCACAAAGAGAGCTATTATAAATATTATAAAACATACAGATTCTTTTCCTTTTTCCCTAATCATCGTTGGAAATACTTCTACTCTGAAATACTTTAAATTAGATGTTACTTCTGACAGGGAATTCCCCTGACAAGTGCAACTCAACTTCGATTGGTGGACATTTAATGAGGTAGTAGGCTAACAGCCCTCAGCCCTTCCCAGTCACTTCATCCTAAGGGGAGGAGGTCAGCTGAGGATTGGCCTAGTCATGAGGTATGAGCCCCCCTTCAGCAATCTGGGCACCCCAGTCCAGTTGTCTCTGGTTTGGTTCATGAGTTAAGTGACCCTAAAGTATAATGAAGGGAAGCAAGGACAGGAGACAGACAGACAGACAGACACACACACACACACACACACACACACACACACACACACACACCTCTGCCACAAAAAGGACTTAACCTACACTAGATCCTGTTTATTTGGCAAACAGTAATCAGGTTCCCAGTTGGGTAGTGCCCAGCCCAGATGCCTTTAAAAGAGCTGGAATGTTTTTTACATTCTTTACCAGGGAGGGCTTCTCTTTAAGTTAACCTTATGACTGAGAAAGGAATATTATAAATTATTATTAATAACTAAATAATACGGTATTAAAATTAATTTATCTCAATAACCAGACAGGTTAAATACTTAACAGGGAAAATTAAAAATGAATATAAAGCCAAGATATGAAATTTTAAATGAAAAATTTTAAGCACTATTTTTTCAATATCATGGTTCTCTTGGTTTTTACCTATAGTATACTTTTAGAAACAATTTTTTTAATACTGAAAAAAATATGGGCTCCTTTTTTTGTTTGTTTGGGTTTTTGTTGTTGTTGTTGTTTTAAGCAGTGGGGTTAAGTGACTTGCCCAGGGTCACACAGCTAGTAAGTGTTATGTGTCTGAGGTCGGATTTGAGCTCAGGTGGTCCTGAATCCAGGGCCAGTGCTCTATCCACTGCGCCACCTAGCTGCCCCTGGGCTCCTTTTTTTTGAAATGGTATCTTGTCTACCTATTTTCTTGGCTTCTCATTTGGCAGAAATAGATGGTTAAAGAACAAGAGCCTAAGTTTTAGTAGAAACTTTAATAAAAATGTTTTTATTAGCATAAAAATGAGCATGTAATAATGATTTTTTTTTAATTTTCAGGCATTTTTTATACTTGCACGGGATATAATGACAAAACTCAACAGAAAAATGGTTTGTATCTTTTACGGTTTTTAATTTTCTTATAGGTCTTTTATTATTCAACAAGCATTTAGTAAGAGTTTACTACTATGTGCCAGCACTGTGCCAAGATCTATGGATATAAAGAAAAGCAAAAACAGTCAGAAAAGGTGTTTTAAGGATGTGATTATCCAAGTGAACATGAGTGATAGGGATGGAAATACTCTTTGAACATTGATCCTCATCTATGTCTGGAAGCTTTGATTCCTTTTCTTGACAACATTATTAAATGATCTTTGGTAATGCAGAGATTTCATTGATAAAAATCCAGAATTACTGAATTTTTAACTGAATAAATGAAATATTGAAATGAAATGTGATAGACATTTATGTAAATATATAGCTCTGGTCTTATAGTGTGCTTAATCATGAAAGTATCTCAGTGACACACAATAGACAGTTTTGGTATTTTAGCTTGACCACTGAATAAAATCTTTGAATATAATGCTTTTGATACTTATCTTAGAATGCCAGGATATGCAAGCAGTGCTATTACAATTAGGCATGAGCCCTATATTCCATTGCCTACTATTTCTGTAAATATGGCAGCAAGAGCTTCCTTTTTATTATTTGGATTATTAATCTAAACGTTCTCTAGCAAGGTCTTTTTTTTCCCTTTGTCTCTTCCTCCCCCCCAAAAAAAAACAGTTTGAAGGGTTTTGAAAATTACCTTATTACCTTTTGCCAAATACCTTTTTAATATGATAATTTTCTTGTCGAGTGTGGGGGTGAACTATGACATCATCTGTTGATTAATTTTATTCTATTTTCTCGTCTTTAGAATGACAGCAATTCACCGGGGGCAGGAGGACCAGTGAAAATAACAGAAAACAGATCAAAGAAGAGCAGTTTCTTCCGCTGTACACTCCTTTGATAAACTCTTAATAATGGACTACAGCACACTGAGAAGAACATTTCCTGCTTTTCTGAAAGCACAGGGTCACATAGCCCCAGAGACATAATACCACCAAGCTGCCACTGAGAGCTCCATGGAACTCAGATTTCTTTAAACAAAATACAACATGGATTATGGCCATGTGGCCTTTCAGCAGGTCAGGCTCTTTTCCTCAAACATGGAAGCAGTGAAGTGGAGACACACGCAGGAGTTAACTTTTTGTTTGTTTTCTTGCCTGTTGCAAAAGCTGCTATCTTTCTTTTAACTTTGCACATCAGTGTTAGTCCTTGCCTGTTACAGCACAATCATACACTTGTATTTGCACAGTTTTGTCTTGTGAAGTTCTTAGCAGATTTGTGCATTTTCAGGGAAGTTTACAAAAGAGAAATTTTTAAATTTACACAAATTCAGAGACTTCATCTGGTTTATAGGGACAAATATAATTTGTAGTATGTGCTTTGAAGGGCTCTAGTCTTATGTAAATTTCTTAAAAAGAAAAGTTGATGCTAATGAGGTTTTTTTTTTAATTCAAGAAAATGCACTGGTCTGTACCAAGGCCACTACTTCTTCCTCTCTTCAGAATGTAGGGCTTTGCTTCATTCTTGTCTGTTTGACCCCACAGGTATTGGGAGTAGCTAAGAGTATAATTTTCTAAATTTATATCTTTTCTTCTTAGTTTGTAAAAACTGCTCTAAATCACTTTTACTTGACTGTTCTAAAAATATTTGATGCAGTGTGGTATAATGGATGAAAGTTCAGTCTCAAAGTCAGGAAGACCTAAGCTCAAGTTCTCTGGGACTGTATGCCCATAAGCAATCATTTTACCTCCTAGTCAGTGCCCCAGGTTACAGACAAGTTACTAATTCTTATTTGTGGGGGGAGTTTCTCCAAGGGGGTTCTCTACAGGTGACCACACCTGACTGCACCCCAATACACTTTCCTCTTCCTCTAGTTTTTTTTCTTAGCCTCCTCTTCCCTTCTCCCTTGTCTTAGCTCCTTACTTTCTTTTTAAAATTTTTTTTTTTATTTTTAGGCAGTTGGGGTTAAGTGACTTGCCCAGGGTCACACAGCTAGTGTCAAGTGTCAGGCAGATTTGAACTCAGGTCCTCCTGACTTCAGGGCTGGCGTTCCATCCACTGCACCACCTAGCTGCCCCCTAGCTCCTTACTTTCTGTCCAATACTCTTTTGACTTCCATATGTGACTTTTTTTTAATTGAGACCTTGAAATTTTTTAGATATACTGTGGTATGGCTGGAAATTTTTTTTTAGTGGCTTATGGTAGTTCCTCCATAATATAATACTCATAATTTTCTTCTTGGATTTACAGCCCCTTTGCTTTTTGATATCTCCTTTATACTAACTATTTCTAGCATAAACTCTGACCAGGGTTAGCAGGAGTTAGTCTTTTAGCTTGCAGAAAGCTTACCTGTATAAAGAGAGCAACCTGAGTAGATAGTGTAACTTTGGGAAGTTTTAGGGAGTTGGATTTTAAAAACACATATATGCATAACTGGATTTAGTGAAGCTTCTAGTAAATAATGCCCTTTTGATAAAGAAAACACAAATAATGTTTTTAGTTTCAAAACAGCTGTTATTGGATCTGTAAAACCTAGTTCCATCTGGTTACATTCTAAGTTACCGAGTATAAAAGTTGATGGTGTTATTTATGGGAAAGCCAGCCAGAAGCTTGCCAGCCTTTTCCATTGAACACTGATCCCTGCTATACTCTGCAGGGTTTTTTTTTAAAGGAAAAAAATGTTCATGGAGCAGAAATAAGAGAAATTAGTGGTTATTAAGGTGCCAGATTCAGGTCAATGTAAACCCAACAAAGGAATGATAAAAGGATGAATAGGTGAAATGTACCCTTGTTAAGAATTTTTTTATTTGTATACTTGTTCTGTTTTACTACAGTCACTATCATAATTGGTGGGTAATAGGAAAAAATTAATTGGCTGTCATTACTGAGAATTTTTTTGAAATAAGATTTGTCATTAGGATGCTTTGACAGGCTTACCTGTCTCCATGTTTCAAAACTTAAACACATTTCACCAGCAGTAAATATGCAAAAAGCTATTTCTGATTGGTGTTAAGATCTTACTACCAAAAATCATCAATCTTTTTAGGTTTGATGGTTGAGGTGTTTATAGATGAAACAGTGCTCCTTGTTGCTACTTCCCATAAAATAATGTTTCCTTATAACTTGACTATAAATCATTATCTGTTATTCAGATGGATTTTTTAAAAGAAAAAAAAATCATGTTCAAAAATATCCCTAACCATTTTGTATGTCCTTTCCGTTGTCTAGAAAAGGGTCAAGTAGTTAAGTTTTCTGTAAGTTAGTAAAGTGCTTTCTATAAAGGCAAGTGTTATGACACCATTTATGAATGTAATTATCTTTCAGTAATTTACCTCTGACTATTTGGTGTCTTAATACTGATTTTTATCTCAGGGGTTGTCTGCAAACCAAAACTGACATATTCTGTGGTTAGCAATGTTGTTGGTTTGTTTTTAATAGAATGCTTTGCCTTTGTTTCATTTTCTCTCTGGTTATGCCCTGTATATGTTAATGCCTAGTCTCCATGAATTTCCCTCTGAAAGAGCCTGTGAAAGTTATGAGTCTAAAATTTTAGCTTTTTGAAGTAGCAGCCATTTGGGGTATTTGCTCTGTTGTATAAAATCAAAATGTCATTGCTATTTTCTTACATTTAGCCATGCTCAATTGTATATAAATTTGAGGTGAAACCATAGGAAATTTCACTTTATGCATGGTAAAATGATCCAGTAAATATTTCATTTTGCTTAATAATGTTCATATAATACATTATTTTTTTCTATTTGTAGAAGGATTTAATAACAGACAATTTTGTCTGTTCCCTGCTGAAACTGAAGAATTCTAGTTTCACGTGAACATTTTTTGGTCTTATAAATAAAGTAAAATACAGATATTTGCAGCAGTATTAAGTGGTTCAGTGGCTGCACTTTATTATCAATGTGCTAATTTTTTTATAATGGTTGGTGTAGACCTTTTCAAATATAGTCTGAGTGTCAGACAATGAAAAATGTGCTGTATCTAAGTAGCATGTAAATCACTGATTGTACCATTTCGCTGGGAACCTATTTTAGCTATATTTTACTTTAGAAAAACAGATAACAATAAATGGTATGTTTTGCCTGTGCATCAGTTCCTAGGTGCTGCAGGTTTTCTTACTATCCATATGAACATTTTGTGCAGTCTTTGTAAGCTTTCGGAAGACTATTATCTTTACTTTGAAGGACTTTTTAAAACTATACCTCAGTTTGAAAACTAGTATTCTAATATCTAGTAGAACAAAAGTGAGCCAGCTATTATACATTTTACAAAATAGTAGATTTATGTTTTGCTTAATTTAAAGGCATCATTAGTCTTTAGGTAAAAGTGGACATTTCAAGTTTAGACTAGAACCTATTATGTTATGTCCAATAATGCAAAAAAAAAATTTATTCCAGCTCTTTTTAAAAATGTAGCTGTGCAATATAATAAATTTCTGCAAAAGTTCCTCCAAGATTGCAGCTTAAATTTTTAGGTTCTCAATGGTAATCATCTCTATTATGGCTAATAAAGCTTTGGATTTAGGATTAACAAGTGAAACATTTATCAGATTTTTTTTCCTTTTTTCTTTTTCTTTGGATTTTCTTTTTCCATGACCAAGACTGTTTTATATAAATTTCGTACTTAACCTTTGAAAATGATCTTTCATACTTAAAGTTAAAAACATGTTTGGTTTACTTATACAAAATTTAGGGCATTTATTTCTAGTTGACTTTGCAAATGTCTCTTTTTAGAAAAAGCATTTCCTCTTCTTTTTTGCACCATCTGAAAGAAAAGGGATGCCTCAACATGTGACCTACAGGAACAGGATGTTAGTGAAAATCACATTCTTCGACTAGCAGTTTTACAGTAAAATTAAAATGTTTTTAGCCTAATAAAGTTGATGTTTCTTGATCACTATGAAAACTTATCTTTAATCTCACTTTCATTTAGTGAAATGTGCAGATATGAAGCTTAAGAAATAATTATTTGTAGTTATTTTTCAGATCACTTCGTCTCTTACTCTTGTGCCACATTTGATTACATTTAATTATGCCAAGAAATAACATAATTTCCATTTCATTTTCTTAGTTTCCACTGAATTTAATTATTTCAGTGCATTCCTATGGCCTTACAAATGGGTGTTTTTTGTTCATTTGCAACTGACACTGCTGAAGTAGAGGACTCCAACTTCTTTAATGCAATATATAGTTTAAATATTTGACTAAAAAACAAAACCCTAACAGAAGAGGCTTTAGTTTTTCAATAGATTTGCCCTACTCTCTGTGTGTTTAAGCACATTTTATCTCTGCTCCAAAAGCTTAATGTGAAAAGCTCCTGCAGATAAATGGACTTGTTATGTGGTTAAATTTGTTTGGATCTAATCATTAACTGTGTACTGATATTGATGCTGTGTTTAAAAAAATGGATTTTATTCCATGTCAACTTTTTTTACAACAATATGTCTAAAATAAAGACTACATAATTATGAAATACATTTCATTTCATACTGTTTGAAATTTCCTTCAATCTACCAAGAATGGAAAAAATCTTAGCTGACTGACTCAGTATTCTCAACAAAAATGAAGAGACACAATACACAAGCTGCTCATTCAAATGGAGTTGTCTCCTAATCCGATTTCTGACTGTTTTGAAGTCACAAAGTAAGAAAGGTGAGTGCTTCATGCAACTGCATAGGGAACCAAATACTTGAAGCCTGTAAAGATGAACAGGAAAGCAGTAAGGAAAATGGATTTTATTTTTAGTCTGATGGACAGAATAAAGTAAAAATTTTCTTAAATGTCAGTTATAACTTTTTTTCCTTTGTAAGCCAAGGTATAAGTATTAAATAACACTGTTTTATGGGTAGGGCATGTTATGTGAGTGAAATTTTTGGATTTGCAAGTATAAGATTACATGGAAAAAGGATAAAGATGATGGGAATAAAGTCTGGGAAAGCTAGTAAAAAAAAATTAAATAAACATTTAAAAAAAGATGAGGGAGAAGAGGTTATTCCTTTTATATAATTAATTCATGAAACTTACTTCCAAACTTGGATGATTCAGTGTCATTCCCATTTGAATAATTCTGAAAAGTTGAAAGGCAGAAAAAGAGATTAGCTCTCTAATATATACTGGTTAGAAAGTAATTCTGATCTATATAGAGGTGGTTGTTCATTCGTTTTTTTGGTTGTGTCCAACTCTTCATAACTTCATTTGGGGTTTTCTTGGCAAAGACACTAGAGTGGTTTGCCATTTCCTTCTCCAGCTCATTTTACAGATGAGAAAACTGAGGCAAATAGGATTAAGTGACTTGACCAGGGTCACCCAGCTAGTAAGTATCTGAGACCAGATTTGAACTCAGGAGGATAAGTCTACTTGACTCCAGGCCTGGCATTCTATCTTTGCATCACTAGCTGCCCCCTACGTAGGGGACAAAACTCTAAATTGATAATCACACTGACAAATCATTTCTGAACTTTAATGCTCTTCATTTGCAACACAAATAATTCTAAAATTGTTAGTACTTTCATGGCTATTGCTCACCTTAATTTTTTAGAAAAATGTTGTTTCAATCAGCCAAGAGCCACCTTCTCATCCTTCTATTCCAGTCTGTCTCCCAGTTGAGGACATAATAAAAAAAGCCATTACAATCATATATAGTCCACCCGAACAAGTTCCCACACTGGCCATGTCTAAAAACAATTTTGTCTCATTATTCATTTTGGGTAGCATATTTCATCATTAGTTCTCTGGAGTCATGGCTAATGGTTACACTGATGAGAATGAGCATAATGGTATTCCATCATATTTGGATGGCATAACTTGTTCATCTACTTCACAGTTTATGGGGACCTTCTTAGATTTCCATTCTTTGCCACTTCAAAAAAAGCTATAAATATTTTTGTATGTTTTTAAAGTCTATTCTATTTAGGACTAATCCCTCCCTTAATCTGCCTCCCTCTTGTTCTCTCTCTCCCCTTCTCCCCTTTCCCTGTTAAGTGCAATGTATTTCTGTACCCAACTCTGTGTGTGTATTATGTGTGTGTATTCTTTCAGCAAGTTCAGAAGATAGTGGGGTTCAAATGTCAGCTACTCCCTTGATTTCCTCCTCCTTGTTTGTATAGATATCAACTTGCATATGCTGATTATATGAAATAAATTTTCCCTAACCTTCCTATCCCTTTCCTCACCAGTGTATTTCTCTTCCCTTCACTTTCCATCCTTCTTTTAAGATTATCAAGACATAACAGAACCATCCTAGGCCTTCTGTCTAATTAGACACCTTTTTGACCTCCTGATGATGATATAGTTCAGAGGGACAGGTATTGTATCTGCATATTTGAATGTAAGCCATTTATCCTTGTTTAGTCTTTTATTATTGTTCATATTTACTTTTTTATGTTTCTTTTTACTCCTGTGTTTGAACTTCAAAGCTTCTGTTCAGCTCTGGTTTTTTCATCAGGAATGTTTGAAGACTTCGTTAATAAAAGGTCCATTTCTGTCACTGTAGCATTCCACTCGATTTTACTAAATAAGTTAGTGTTGGCTGTGAATGCATATCCTTTGCCTTCTGGGATATTGTATTCCAAGTTCTCTGCTCTTTTTTAATGGTGACTGCTAAATCATGTGTGATCCTGATGGGCTCCTTGGTACTTGAATTCTTTGTTTTCGGCTACTTGTGTTATTTTTTCATTGACCTGGAAATTCTGCTATTTGGCTGTGATGTTCTTGGGAATTTTCATTTTGGAGTTTTTTTAAGGAGGCGACCAGTGGATTCTTTCTGTTCCTACTTTGCCCTCTGTTCTAAAAGATCTGAGTGATTTTCTTTTAAGATTTCTTAAAATAGGACGCTTAGGCTCTATATTTGGTCATGATGTTCAGATAGTCCAGTGATTCTCAAATTTTTTTCTTCTGGATTTGTTTTGCAGTTCAGTTGTTTTTGCTATGAGATACCTTAATTTTTTTCTATATTTTCAGTCTTTTGACTTCATGTTAATATTCCATGTTGCTTCATGGAGCACTGGCTTCTGTCTATCTATCTACACCATTGTCATTTTGGGTTGTTTTTTGTTTTTGTTTTTGTTTTTTGCTTTTTTTGGGTGAGGCAATTGGGGTTAAGTGACTTGCCCAGGGTCACGCAGCTAGTAAGTATCAAGTGTCTGAGGTCACATTTGAACTCAGGTCCTCCTAATTCCAAGGCCGGAGCTCTCTCCACTGTACCATCTAGCTGCTCCAAGCCCATTATAATTTTAAGGGAATTAGTTGCTTGGGCAAAGGTTTATACTTCTTGCACCAAGCTATTAATTCCCTTTCCAGTTCTTTCTTTCCTAGGTCTTATTTTTTTTCCATTAAAAATATTTTTTCCTTTTTCTTAAACTCTTATATCATCTTCTCTAGGAATTTTAGTTGAATTTTTCTCAAGCTGCATATTTCCCTGAAGCTTTGCTTATAAATATTTGGTAGCCATTTTCTTCTTCTGGGTCTGTCTTTAGGTTCCCTGCCACCACTAAGTTCCCTGATTACCATACCATACTAGCTTTTTATGGTGGGATTCTTTTTTGGTTTGCTCATTTTTCCAGCCTGCTTCTTGCCTTCAGACTTAAAGTTAGGGCCTAGCTCTGTGTACTTTTGGAGAAAAGGTCTGGGCTAGGGTCTTGTTACTGCTTTCTTGAAGGTATTGAATATCGTGCTGTTCTAGGATCTCAAGGACAGGCTGTGTACCTGCAAGCTTTCGTTACTCTCAGCGTGGTCTAATGAAGGGCCAAATATGTTTATTTCACCTCCTTTTAAATGCAAATGTCTGATCTTAGTTTGGGTCTGAGCAAGAGTAGACTGCTGTTGGACTGAGTCCTTGTCAGCCAGCTAGAGAGTTCTACTGGTTCAGTGGCAAAACTGTAGGCTCCCCTATGATTGGGTATTCCTTACCTGGTTATTTCTCTGCAGGCTGGGCTAGGTGCTGAAAATGAGACCCTGCTGTGCTTCTGGGTTCTGAGCCATACCTCTGCTGCTGGCTTCTGAACTTCTTTATTTCTGAAACAGGGCCTCCTTACCCAGAAATGTGTAGGTCCCTTCCCCCATCCCAGTAGGTACCCTTTAAAGTGGATCCAGTGCCCTGGATTTATGATCTGGTGGTAGGCAACAAAACTACCAATTTACACTTTTTTCCTTCACGGTACCCTGGTACAAATATAGGACCTCCTCTTGCCCTGGTACACAGCCTTTCCCCAGGCATTAGAGTACTTCGAGCGCAACATGCTTGACCCAACCCCCAGTAGCCACAAACCTCCTGTCTGTTTCCCTATGCTGACCTGGACTGAAGAAATGATTGATTGTGACTTTGGATTTCTCCATCAAGATTCAGTCTGGTTCTGTTTGAAGGAGTGGTGTGGACCTCATATTCTGCTTCCTACTGCTCTGCCATCTTGGCTCTTCATCTATTGCCTATCTTTATGTCTCAGTTCCTCCTTCCTTTCTTACTCTCTCCCACCCACTTCCTCACGGAAGAAGGGAAATAAGCATTTGTTGAGCACCTGCTATGTGTGCTGTTCCAAGCACTTTACAGATATCTCATTTGATCCTCATAACCATGGAAAGTAAGTGCTGGATGCTAGGTGCTATTATTATCCCCATTTTCCAGTTGAGGAAACTGAGACATACAGATTAAGTAATTTGCCCAGGGTCATACAACTAATAACTAAAACTAGATTTGAACTCAAGCCTACCTGATCCAGGAACCAGTGTTCTATCTACTGTGCCACCTCCATGCACAAGAAAACAACAATAAAAACCAATCCAGGAAAAATGGCAAATACAACCTCTTCATTGTTTTTATTCAAGAATAACAAAATTTTGGCTCTTCAAAAACTGTCAGTTAAACTATTTATTAAATCTAAGTAATAAAATTTAACATGATAATTGGCAACCTACTTTATCTTTTAGTTTAAAATTTTGGAGTAAATCCATATACATTTTAGAAAACACTAAAAAGAAGTTTAACCCACATCCAGCTTAGAAATAAATGTAGTACTCCATGGAATATAAATGTATTTTAGGAAAACTTCATAGAAGGCTGCCCCTTAATTAAATGGCTAAATGTTCTTCTGAGCACAATAAACTCTATACACAACATGAAAAGCTGATAAATATCAGAAAGAAAAATACTAGCTTTAACATGTTCCTCACATGTGCTATTTCCCCCTCTAAGAAGATAGCTCTATAGTCAATGAGAATTGTTTTAGTCATTTTCAGTTGTGCCCGACTCTTTGTGACCCCGTATGGGGTTTTCTTGGCAAAGGTACTGGAGTGGTTTGCCATTTCCTTCTCCAGATCATTTTACAGATGAGGAAACTGGACAAACAGGGTTAAGTGACTTGCTCAGTCACCTAACTAGTAAGTGTCTGAGGCCAGATTTGAACTCAGAAAGATGAGTCTGTCTGACTTCAGGCCCAACACTCTAACCATTGTACCACCTAGTTGTCCTATTGAGAATTAGTACACAACAAAATCTAAGTACATTGGCTTTTCTCATATAGTGCATAATTAGTGCATGAGCATTACCTTTTATAAAGATAAATCATCTAGAAACCTAAATCGTCTGAAAAAGGCTTCATTCCTCCCATTACTATTTATTTATTCATAGGGCATGAAAATATTCTTTGTGTTTGAAAGACGTCAAACAAGACCTCTGATAGAGACATCTACTGTGAGCTTCCTCACCTTAAAACTAATCTTTACTCATTCTCTCCTCGTTCCTCCTTGTTTTAGAGGATGATTTGGTCTTCATTCTGACAAATGTTAATATACTTGTGCCGTTAATTCCATCTTTTCCTGCTTCCTCCACAGTTTTGTTCCATTAATCATCCCCAATCTCTCCATCTCTGCTGGGTCCTTCTCCATTGTTCAATAAACTTGGGTCTTCTCTGTTTGAAAAACCTGCCCTTGACTCTTCTTCTCTGAGGAATTCCCTATCCAAACATTTAAAAAGTGTGTTCTATATTCATCGCCTCCACTTCTTCACCATTCATTCCTTAATTCTTTTCAACCTGTTTCTCTTCACACCAATCAATGAAATAGGTTTCCTAGTTACTAAATTCAGTGGTCTTTTTAAAATCTTGCTCCTCCTTGGGCTTTCTGTAGCATATAATGGTAGAGCCTGTGTTCCCCACCTTGGAATTCCAACCACAGGAGCAAGTTCCCTCCTTAGTATGTCCTGGATCTATGCCCCCAGAACTAGGTAGTGAGTGACAGTCTTGCCAATTGGCACCTGTTCCTACACCCTGTATGAGATCATGGCACCCTTGATAGGTCTTGCCCTGGTGCACAACCTTAGTCCTTTTTCAGTCACTGAGAGCTGTACAAATCTGCTGAGTGAGCTCTTGGTCAGACCCAGTTGACCATGTTCACAAACCTCTTTGTCTCCCTATGCCAGCTTGGCCTGGAAAAATGAGTCACTGTGACTTTTTCTTAAATTTCTCCAACAGGATTTGGTCTGGTGCATTTTCTAGATGTGTTTGGAGTTTTGAGGAGGAAGGAAACTTGTTGTAATTCTTCCTGTTTCTCAACATTTTGGCTCTGCCCCCTGTAACCAATCACTAAAATATAATGATTT